GTCCCGGGGTTCGGAGTCATCACCAACATTGTCAATGGAGGCGTGGAGTGTGGGCATGGGTCGGACTCCAGGGTTCAGGATAGGATTGGGTTTTATAAGAGGTATTGCGATTTGCTTGGTGTGAGCTACGGCGACAATTTGGACTGTAGTAGTCATAGGGGTGTCCAAAAAGCCCGTCGGCCCGAGCCCGGCCCGGGCCCGGTCGGGCCGGAACCCGGCCCGGCCCGGGCCCGGTCGTCGGCACCCGGCCCGGCCCGGAACAGTGCTTTTTTTTATTTTTTTATTTTCTTATATGTATAATATATGTATCTACTTTTTTATTACTAAAGGAGAACAATGAAAAGCTTCTATGAACAGTAAATCCTAAGTGGCCCAATCACAAGGAGCCACCTCATCTCCTAAAAAAAATATGAAGCTCATAAATCGGATTTTTATTAGTTTTTAAATTTTGAGTTCCGCCCTCTTAATCCATACCTACACCCACTACTTGTTAGAAATTTATCAAATAATTCAAATTATAGCATGAAATAAATCCGAATAAAATAAACAGATTAAATCTGGCCTGACAGGAGCAGTCATGTATTCACTGCCCTAGAAGATTGAGAACCCGTCTATCGCCCTGGTGCAAATGATTCTCTCCCCCCTAGCGGTAAAAGCCCACGGAAACGGCCGGCCTCCGTACTCGGGTGAGAGTACAGAGCTTCTGCTCAGATGAAGAAAGTTGCCCAAAAATAAAACCAATACTATGAAGAAATAATATGAAGAGGAGAGAAGAGACTTGTTGTTTTTCTTGTTGTTTTTCCGAGAATGTGAAGGGCTGCTTATATAGGGGTCTTAGAGAGCCGTTACAAATCCTAGCAATCAATACAGTAACGTACGCCATAATGTCGACCGTTACGCAATAAACATGTAATTAATACGGTAACATTCGCCATAGTTATATAGCCATTATGCACGTATTAATTGCCGAGGAAAATAAAATATGTAAAACATGTTAAATTGCCTTTTCTTTAAAAAAATATCCAACGGTCCCCCCAAAAGGCAATATTAACTGAAAACTCAGTAATCAATAATCAATAAATAACTCAAGAAATCATAAAACAAATATAGGTTGGGCAACCTTACGTATCGTGAATTTGGGAGGGGTAGCTTTCGGCTTTGAACCTTTCCTTAGTGAGTTCATCGCCACCTGAGGGACATAATGGACTAAACCTTGAATTAGGCCCCATTAATCAGGTATTGATAAAAACACACACAATACGTCTTTATCTATTGAGCAAAGCGGGTTGAGCGTTAAAGGTGATAAAAACACACACAATACGTCTTTATCTATTGAGCAAAGCGGGTTGAGCGTTAAAGGTCATGCTCATAATAAACCGACTCATGAGAGTTTCTAGTGAGCGTTAAAGGTCATGCTCATAATAAACCGACTCATGAGAGTTTCTAGGGGTTAGCCCAGCCCCCCTTAACAGCGGCCATCATGGTTCCTCTCACGTAGGTAAGTCCTCAAAGGGTACTACAGCTGCTTATTTAATACCCCCCATAATACACACGTTGGACTTATTAAGAGTAAAACTCAGCCTAGCCAGCTATATCATAAGAGCATCGTCATCATAGATAAGGGGTAGTAGCACAAGCTACATAGTGATATATGAATATATCAGGGTCGATGCTCCACACGAGTGTCACTAGTCTAGCTTGTTTCTACCACATTGAACCAACATTGGGACTAAGTCTCCAAATAAGGGTTGTGTTACCACTGTCAGTGACCTCTCTTATGGACTTAACCCCATCTCCCTCGATGAATTCAGAACCACACTCCTGGATAATCCCTTAGTCAAAGGATCAGCAAGATTTTTCTCAGACTTTACAAAGTCCAAGATCACAACTTTGCCTATCAGGCGTTGTATTTATTTATCAAGTTCTTAAATTATTTTGTAATTAGTCCTTCATATTGTTTAAAATTGACATTAGGTCATGGTCTATGATCATAAAAGATCATAGTCTATGTCTGAAGATGTAAACACATAGTGTTTGTGCAGATTAGGATTTGACCTTAATATCTGAACATTTCAAACTAATGTGGAACTAAAATTCTGCAGTTATGCATATGCACATACATGAATGTATGGTGTAAATTTGATTTCCCGAAAACAGGGAGTGTTCGTTTGTATTAATAAGAAAGCTTATTACAAACTAATAATCAAATGGTTACAACAGAAGCAGAGGGAATGCCCTCTTTGTTTTGTGTGGGGACTTTAGGTGGCTATAGGACGCTTCGCTCGATGCTCGTGTCGAGTCTGCTTCCCTTGGACCGTTCGATCGAGGTTGCTGGAGAGCTTCAGTTCGCAGTAGAAGCTCGAATCGATGGAGTTCGGGTCTGCTTAGTTCG